GAAAATGCTACGTGGGGAGCGCGCTAGCCGACATGTATGCGAAATGCGGGGAGTTAGACCTCGCCCGCCGCGTGTTCGACAGAATGCCCGAACGAGACTCTGTTTGCTGGAACTCGATGATCGCGAGCCTCAGCCGGAACGGGCAGCCGGAGGCCGCCGTGGACCTTTTCCGGCGAATGGGTTCCGATTACGACCCGGTCAGCATATCATCCGCCTTGTCTGCATGCGCTGACCTGTCGGCCCTCGCCCACGGGCGAGAAATCCACGGTTTCATGACGAGGAACGGGTTCGATTATGACATCATCGCATGCAGCGCGCTAATCGACTCGTACGCGAAATGCGGCGACCTGAGGTCAGCACGGCTCGTTTTCGATAAAATGGGGACCACGAACGAGGTCTCATGGAACAGCATTATCGCGGCCTACGGAAGCCACGGCGAACTAGACGAGTGCCTTTCACTCTTTCGACAAATGGAGACCGAAAATTTATTCGAGCCCGATCACGTGACTTTTCTTGCCGTGATATCTGCGTGCAGCCATGCGGGCCGAGTCGAAGAAGGGAAATTGCAGTTCGACCGAATGGCCCGAGACTATGGGATTAGTCCTAAGATGGAGCATTATGCTAGTTTAATCGATTTGTACGGCCGAGCGGGACGTTTGGAAGATGCGTGCCGTGTGATTGAGAAAATGCCTTTCGAGCCGGATGCTGGAGTTTGGGGGACATTGTTGGGAGCTTGTCGAATGCATGGCAATGTGGAGCTAGCCGAGAAGGCTTCTAAGCATTTGTCTCGTTTGGACCCACAAAATTCGGGTTACTACGTTCTGTTATCGAACTTGCAAGGGGAATTCGGGACGTGGACTCGGGTTGATGAGATTCGGGGGGTGATGAATGAAAATCGGGTGAAGAAAATACCGGGCTTTAGCTGGATTGAGGTGGATAAGGGGTATCATGTGTTTGGGGCTGGGGATAAAAGTCATCCACAGACTAGTAAGATTTATGAGATGTTGAGTAGTCTTCTTGTGGAGCTTCAAGATGAAGGGTTTGTGTTTGTTCCTAAAGTATACAGTTCAAATCAGTTGCCAGTATAAGAATGCTACAGGAAAGATTATTCAGTGAGATGATTGAATAAGAATTGCTAAGTGAG